GAAAAGAAGAGTAAGGTGAGTAACTAGCTTCCCCAGCCTTTTGGGACACTGCACAAACATCCCACTTTAGATTCACCCAACCCAGACCTGAAAAGATGAGACATATAGAGATGGCTAGAAACAAGGAAGAAAAGAAAGGGCTACCAGTAGCAGCCATACAGCTAGAGCAATTACAGTTCAAAGTGACCAGCTTTGCAGATAAACCTGACAGATTTGGCCACAGAAGAAACCAATGTCCCAAACAGCCACTGAGGAGCCCTGAAGATGTCATCAGCTTTCACCCCACAGATACTCATCTTCACTGACAACAGCCGCCTGAGTCCCTCCCTGATCCCTTCCCCACCTCTCACCCTACCAGAGCCGGGGGATTTTACTAACTCAGCCCAGGCCTCTGCAGCTCTGTGAATGCAGTCTAGACCTCTGAGTTGAACCCCACCACTGTACGTACATTCAGGGTTAGCCCTTCCAGCTGTGCACTTGCATGCCACTGGCCTGATGCCTGTCACTGGGCTCCACTGCAATACATATACCCAGGAGGAGACTGTGCAGCCACAGGAGAGCACATCAATGACCAGAGCCCATGCAGGTGCTTGTGGGACCAGATTAGACCCTGTCTTCTGTCACTGGCCTGTACCACTGCTCTCACCTGCAGCTAAGCCCCTCCAGCTAGGGATCTGCATGCCCCTGGCCCAGCCCCCATTACTGGCCTTCACTGCCATGCACCCATGGCAAGACCCAGCAGCCATGGTAGTACACAACAACAGCTGGCATCCCACAGCTGTGAGTGAGTCCATAGTTGGCCCCAGCCCTTGTGCCTGCCCTGGCCCCCATCACTACATATGTATCTGCAACTGGTCCTCACCACTACATAGATACCTGCAGCTGGGCCTCTGTAATCAGCACTGACTCTGGTCACCACCACTGCCTGCCCTGATCCCTAGAAATAAACATACTAAAACTAACGGGATGTTACAAAAGCATTTCTAAGGGGGCTGTTTATAGCAATAAATGTCTACGTTAAGAAAAAAGAAAGATATCAAAGAACCTAACTTTACACTTTTAAGGAACTAGAAAAAGAAGAACAAACTAAACCCAATGTTAGCAGAAGGAAATAAATGAGAGACCAGAAAAACAATAGAAAAAGTTAATAAAATGAAGAACTGTTTTTTTAAAGATAAACAAAATTGAAAAACCATTAGCTAGACAAAGAAAAATTAAGAAAAGAGTTAAATAAAATCAGAAATGAAAGAGGATATATTGCAACTGATAACACAGAAATACAAAAGATCATAAGAGACTGCTATGAACAATTATACACCAACAAACTGGAAAAATTCCTAGAAACCCACTACCTACCAAGACTGAATCATGAAGAAATAGAAGACCTGAATAGACCAAAGAGTAAGGAGATTGAATCAGTAATCAAAAAACTCGCAAGAAACAAAAAAGCCCAGGACCAGGTGGTTCTACTAGTAAATTCTCCCAAACATTTAAAGAAACATTAATGACAATTTTTCTCAAACTCTTCCAAAAAATTTAAAAAGAGGGAACACTAAAAAAATAAAATAAAAGGAGGGAATACTAATAAACACATTTTATGAGGCCAACATTACCCTGATACCAAAACCAGATAAGTAAGGACACTACAAGAAAACTACAGACCAATATTCATAATGAATATAGATACAAAAATTCTCAACAAAATGTTAGCAAACCAAATTCAACAGCACATAAAAAGATTTTATACCACGATCAATCAGGATTTATCCTTGAGATGCAAGGATAGTTCAACATATATAAATCAATAAATGTGATACACCACATTAATAGAATGAAAGATAAAAATCATATGATCATCTCAACAGATGCAGAAAAAAGTGGAAAAATACAACAACATTTCATGATAAAAAATGCTCAACAGGGCTTCCCTGGTGGCGCAGTGGTTGAGAGTCCGCCTGCCGAT